TTTTATTAAATTTTTTGTAGAGACAGGGTCTCACTATGTTGCCCATGCTGGTCTCGAACTCCTGGCCTCAAGAGATCCTCTCGCCTTGGCCTCCCAAAGTGCTGGGATTATAAGTGTGAGCCACCACACTCAGCCTCAATATTCATTTAAAATGGACATCCTGGATAATTATATCCTTTCAAATGTCAACATTTAATAGCAAGAATTTGACAGCTTGCTAACTTTCAATAACTTATAGCAAATACTTCAAAAGAATTTAAATGGACTAGGATTGTTCTTTAATCTCTGATTATAGTCAAGTTTCCTTAAATGATTATTTGGGAAGTGACCAAACTTAACACTTGAAGGCAATATAAATGATTATTTCAGTAGATGGTGAATAGTGATTACACCTCCCCCACTTGGCTAACAGAAACAGCTGAGGCATGTCTCTATTAAACCACAAGGAATCAGTTTCCCCGAGCCAGAATTTTCCTCTGCAATTCTCCCCCTTATCATCTCTATGTGTACTCTCCCTTCTGTACTTCTAAAGATCAACAGATGCCATTTAAAAACATTTTTAACACAAAGGATCAACTTTCCACTCTGAAAAACAAAGGGCTTATGTGACATCAAAGAGGACATAAAAGCTTAATCTCGCAAGTCAGACGTGATAGAAGGGAATCAGAATTACAGGCTCTAGTTTATAGTCTTCCAGGTCATTCTATCCACTGCCAATTATTTGTTGAGATGAAGCAGGTAGGGACTACTGTATTTTAGAGACTGTTAGTGTAAGATTCTGTTTATAAGATGTAATCCATTTAAGAATGAAGGTCAGCATAGTGCACAGGAACCAGCCTTTTAATCCTCTTGCTGCCTCTGCTCACAGTGTAACTCTGCTTAACCTTTCTGGGGCTTGGCTTTCAGTGGGACGGGGATGGCAGTTCCTGCTCCTTCCTGTCAATTCTTAGCAGATCACTGTGAGAATCGCAGAGATAGCGCAGGGCTCTTTGGTGCAGGATTTCGATACATACAAAATTTTATTACCATTATTTTCTACCATTATCCAGATATGACATATATAGTATTCTAGGTAAACATCATATAAGGTGAATGTTTCTTGGAAGGCAAAGTGTTATATAAATATTTGGTATAAATATTAAATAGGCTGGGCCGGGCATGGTGGCTCA